GGGCCCGCAAGGCGGGTTGACGGCGCCGCCCCCCGCCGCTGCCGCCGCCCTCCTGCTGTGGTGGTGCCGGTGCCGCCCCCCCCTTCTTCTTCTTCTTCTTCTTCTTCCTCCTCCTCCTCCTCCTCCTCCGCCCCGCTCCGCCGCCGCCGCCGCCTCGCGCTCCCTCAGCCGCGAGCCCCGCTCCGGTCGCCTCTGCCGGAGCCTCTCTCTGGACCCCTGACGTCACCCGCAGTGACCTCACCGCCCCTTCACCGTCGCCATTGGTTGCGCCGGCAAACGCCGCGCCGGACCCGCCCCGCCCCCCTGCGGTACGCCGGGAGTTGTAGTGAGGGGAAGGAGAGCGTCGGAGGGGGACGCGGGTTCGAGACCCCGCAGGGGACGCAGCGCAGGTGTGTCGTCGTCGTCGTCGTCCCCCCGCCCCACGACGTCAAAGCGAGGTGGCCAGCGTCACCTGGGAGAAGCCACCATTGAACCCAAACGCCCCCCCACCCCTTCCTTCCTCCCCCGGGATTACAAACCGGGCCAGGCCTCGCAAGCACGAGTCACCGCGCCGGCTTTCCGGTGCGACACCGGCAAAGCATTTCCCGGTGCCTCAGTTTACCCAACCGGAGGGGGCAGGTACCCGCCAGCGCCCCGGAGGTGACAGCGGGGCGCGTGACGATGGCGATAATGGGCATCTTTCAAGCCGGCGGGGCTCTGGCGTGGCAACTCCACGCCCGGAGCGGACATCCCGCATTCCTGACCCCGGCATCAACCCAAAAAATTGGCCCCAACGCTTCCTCCCCGCGCAGGGAGGAGATGCAGCCGATGAACCCCCAAAAGTCTGAGCAAATGGGTAACCTCACCCCACAGGTGTGTGCATGGCGGGGGGGTGATCGCCATTTAATGCCCCAATGCACCCCTCGAGCCCCGAGTCAGGCTGGAGCAGAAGGTAACGCACCGAGGGGGGTCGGATCCACACTCCGGGTGAGCTACGCTGGGGAGAATTTGGAGGTGGGGGCAAAGGGGAACAGGATTATATTGAGCAACCAGTTCCAAGCGACTGGGAGAACAGGAAGGGGAAAAGCAGACTTTTCTCTTATTTCATTAAATCCTTGTAGTATTTCATCTGTGTAATACCATAGTTTTGTGACAGGGATAATTTTAGGGTAACAGGGACTATGATAGCATCCTGTCCCTTTTGGGATGCCTTAAGACCACTCTTGCAGCACCCAGACCCTTGTATGTGGGTGCACAGGGGATTTAGGGGGGGGGCCCTCTGAGCCCTCATGGGTCTAAAAATGGAGGTGCATGGGTGGTCGCTGGCCTTGGCCCACCCTGGCATGGGGACAGTGTTGTCCCTGCCATGGGTGCACCCCATGGTTTGTGGGGTGGTTCACTGACCATGGTGGGGACGGGCAGACAAAGTGGAGATGAGGGGAAGGGGAGGGCAAGGGGGGTGTCGGAAGCCATGGGGAATAGGGGAGATGTGGGGAGTAGGGGGAAACATGGGGAGCTGCAGGAAAACCATTGGAAATGGGGGAGCCATGGGGAGCCAGAGGAGTTCTGAGGAGCAGCGGAGCTACAGGGACCCATAGCAAGATGTGGGTAGCTATAAGGAGTGGGGGGAGCTATGGGGGACAAGGGGAACCAGGGGGAACCATGGGGAGGGGACTGTTGGGGACAAGGGGATCTGTGGGTCCACACAGCTGGGGAAGGGGTTCCTCCATGCCCTGCTGCAGAGCCCAGCCAATGCCCAGCCCATCCTCACCTTTTTGGGGCTGGGGGTACTCAGGGTAGGAGGGGGGTGACACCCCCATCTCCACCCCAAGTCCCAGCCCAGCATAGCCATGGGGTGAAGCAGCTCCTCATTAAGGCCACACAATTAGGACCCTCTTAGAAAGGAAGGTGACCTACCCAAACTCAAGCCCTGCTGCTCCATAGGGGGCTTCCTGCCAGCACCCACCCAAGAAGCTGGCAGGTAAAGGGTGTCTCCCAGAAGAAGCCCCCCGGGTAGTCAGGTGCACCCCCAAGTTTTGGGGTTCAGTGAGAGCAGGGATCAGCCCTGACCCAGGCAGCCTCTGCCTTCCCAGGCACAGGGTGGCCAGAAAATGCCCCAAAGGGGATGGGGCAAGATGAGACACAGAAGAAACCCCAGAGCTGGTGCTGGCAAAACCAAGGCAGAGGCTCCTCCTCCAAAGGGAGTTCCTTTGCTTCCCCCCCCCTCCCCAAAAAAGGGAATTACATGTCCCTGTGCCTTCACCCATGTGCATGTGACTGCAGCAGACCTGGGGTGATGAGGTCCAGCCCTCTCCAAAGCCCCTTCCCCAACATCCTCAAGGATGGAGACAACAGATCAGGGTCTCCCTTCTTGGCTTCTTCTCCCCCTTCCACAGGGACAAGTCCCTCCCCCTTAACGCACCTCTTCCCGGGTTTTGGCTGCAACCCAGCCTCCCCCTGCACTCCGGCCCAGGTGATTTATCACCTCGGAGAAGCTATCAGCCCTCAACTAAGGGCAGCTCATTGCCACAGCAGATGCTGGCAGGCATAGGGGTACGAGGCCAGGGGTATGTCTGCGTGTACGGGGGGCTGAGGCAACGGCAAAGAGCCCGCATCAGGCAGGGAAGACAGCAAAACGAGGAATGGGAAACAGGAGAGGGAGGCAGCTGGACACTAATCCCACAAAGACAAGCATCCTGAGGGATACAGGAGCCACATGCTAGGTCCAGAGCTCATCCCACCCCAGCAAGAACCACTGTACCAGCAGTAATTAAAAAAAAAAAAAAAAAAAAAAAAAAAAAAGTGAAATGTTTATTCCCACCTGGCGACACTTCCCTGTGCTGCTGGTGGCAGGTCACAGCTGGACAAGAGAGTCACCCTTGCGAGACGACCACGTCTCCTTGTTCACCCCACGTGCCCATGGCATGTCCCAGCTCCAGACAGGGCTGTCAAAGCCCTTGGGGCCAAGGGCTACAGCAGCAATTTGTGAAGGCAGGGGGCTTCAAGGAAGGCAGTCAGGGAGGAGGGGGTCCCAGCGGCTGCTGGGGGCTGCGTTTGGCATGGAGCCTCCTCGGCACCCCCTCCCCGGGGCACGGAGCTGCCGTGGGAGCAACTGCAAAGCGGATCTCTGCCGGACTGATGCAATACCCAGTTCCCAGAGGCAGTGGCCCATTCAGGAGGAATTCATGCTCTCCCATTGCCGGAAAATGCGGAACACCTTGCAGGACTTCACCGAGAGACTCTGTGAGAGAGGGGAGCAAAGTGACAACCAGAGGTTAAGACACCGCAACAGGACCTGCGACTGCCACTGACCTACCTACAAAGCACATGAGCAGAAACTGCAGCAAAAAATACCCATCTGAAATATCCTAATTGGTTGCCAAGACACCAATTTGCTCCTCTTCTTCGTCAGCCCTATTTACCAGAACCAGAGGGGAGAAGAGCAAGGTGACTGCAAGCAAGAAGCAGGACGGGACTCCAACCATTCCCTGCTCCAGCTGGGTCTCGCGCCTCTGACTTATGTCTGGTTGCACAGGACCAGCCAGCACTTTCCCGGCACATGGCATAGCCAGAAGGGACCAGCCTGTTGGGGACACAACTCACACAAAGTCCCCAAGACAAATGCTGAAGCAGGACTGCTCCACCAGTCCCTACAGCTCAGCCCCAAGCAAAGCAGGGGGGAGCCATCAGGAGGAATCCAGGAGGATAGTGGGGCCCAGGAAGGCAGGAGCAGGTACTGGCTGCTCCACAGCTGCTCAGGGAGAGGGGTTGTGGCCTCAGCTCTGCTCCCCTGGCTCGGCAAACACACCCATCCAACACCCTGGGGCTGGTGGCCGCAGAAGCCAGCAATCAGGATGTCTGTAGAGAGGGTCGGGAGCTCTCTATCGGGACATAAAATGAAACTGGATCTTGGGCAGTGCTGAGCCACTCGGGAAAGGCTGTTATTTATAGAAGCCCTTGAGCAGATCTGCGCACAACACATCGTTGTAATAGATGAGACCTGGCCGAGAGGCTGTCAGCACAGCCAGAGGGGAAGCTGAGACTCTGCAGACACACGCTTGGTCCTTGCCACCCAGCTGGGTTTGCATTCAGCCCAAAAGAAGCCCATCTACCCCAAATTCTGCCCACAGACTTTCAGCCCTGGGCAAGGCCGGGGCAAGCAGTGTTTTGAGTGCTTGGGTTTGGGGCTGGGGATCCCGCAAGGCTCACCACGGGCTCCGTCTCAGGCACTCTTTCACACTTTCTGGTGGCAAGGAGTGTCTTCAGTACCACTCGCCAGCCTGGCTCTGCCTTTGGAGGTTCCTTCTCTGTCTGGGTCGCGGTATCTTCCAGGGCTTCCCCTCCCTCCACTGTGTTGACCCAGGGACACCAGTCGCGATGCTGAGAGCTGGGGTCAAAGAAGCTCCTCAAAGAAGTGTCCTGGATAGGGGAGGAGGGGAAAGTGAAGGAGGACAGCAACACAGCATGGTTTAAAACAGACTCCAGTGAGATGATAAAACCCTCTCTGTGCCTAAACACCAGCCCTGAGCTGGCTACAGGGACAACACTGGTCCCTGGATCAGGAGCACCCTGCCCAGATCCCTCTCCTTCCCACCCAGTCTCTCCCTGCACCTAGGTCACTCACCGAGCTGCTGGAAGAGCAGAGCCGTGTGCGCTTGGCTCTGCGAAGAGGACTGGATGGCACCTCCATGTTTTCCCCCTGGCCCATGCTGCGGGTGACAGGGCGGCTCCTCGGAGTGGGGCTGGCCACCTCCAACTCACTCCGGTCCATGGGGATGGGAGAGTCCCAACCCCGCGGGCGAGAGATTGCTGGGGACAGGCTCTTCTCGTGCTGCCAGTGGGGAAAGAACAAGGAATTAATAGATTTTCTCTGGTCACCAGCATGTCCTCTGCCTGAAGGGGACAGGGGGGCCCTGGCCAGCTCAAACAAGACATCAAAGCCCTCTCAGCCATCCTGGCAGGAGCCACGCCACCTTCCCTTCATACCAGGAGCATCTCAGAAGTGTCTAGTTGGAGATGGGTGAAGGCAGCCCCCTGATTTGGGGGGAGAGCTGCAGAGGGCAAGGGCAAAAGCAGCAGCAACCCACTTCTGTTGGATGTTGCCTACAGCTGGAGACACAGCACCAAAATGAGCCTCTTTCAAAGTAAAAGGCAGTGGACACCCAAACTACATCAGTCTCAACTCCTGTGTTCCCCTGTATCACCCAGACATCCTGAGTTCATGGGCTGGCTGAGCTGGGCCATACCTGCTCAGAGCCCGGAGAGAGTGTGTCTTGGCTCCGCGTAAGCATTCTGCGTGGAGACGTGGGCACGAGCGGGAAGCGCTCGGCGGGTGCCGGTGATACACTGCTCGGGCCGCAGGAGTCCAGATCTGGCCCCGCAGACTCCAGCTGGTGAAAGCCCCACAGTCCCACCTTCCTCATGCAGCGGGAGCAGGTGATGACCGAGAGGTGCACAGAGCCAGACGCAGCACTGTAGGGAAAGAGCCAAGTCACGAGAGGTCAGGGATGAGCCTGGGCCCTTCCCCAAAATCGCAGCTTTCAGAACAGATGCAGGTATCGGGCAGAGCACAGGAATGGTCTCAGTCGCAGGTACCTGAGCCAGCACGTTTCAAGACATCAGCACCCCAGCGCTGAGGCATGGACTTACTGTTTTTGTAGCCCTGTGTGCTAAGAAGTAAAACAAGTCCATTAAAATCCATCTATAGCATTGATTTAAACTGGCTCAGTTACATTTTGGCTTGCCACGAAGCAGGAGCACACTCAGTTATGGCACATCAGCCAAGTGTCCCCATCCTCAGCCCAAGAATTGCCCAGCCACAGCAGCAGCTCCACTCTTCCTCACCGTAAACCTTTTTCCAGCCTGCATCTTAAGAGATCACTTCACCTTCAGCAAGCTGCCTCAGGCACAAACAGCATGGCTGTTCAGCTCACAGCACAGGCTTTGGGAAGCCACGAACCTTCAGGTCACGAATCTTCCCTCCCTTCCCGCAGGCCTGACGAGCAATAAAAGTGCTACTGAGGATAACATTTCAGGGATTGACTTCAACATCTAAATCAGCAATGAGCAGGGCAACCGACAGCTCAGTTGTTTCAGACTCTTTGCCATCTCAGGGAGACATCTATTTTAGATTAGGTAGCTTTGCACTAGGGTTTCTGGAAGTCTGTCAATTTTAACGGCTGGAGATAATAAAATAGTGAAATAGAGGATACTGAACATTTCACAGGAAGGACATCCGCATTCCTCCAGCCTCTGACAGGATTCACCAGCAACCACAAAGTGCGGCAGACACTTCAGTATCAGCTACAGCACTACCCACCTGCAAGTCCAGCCACACAGAGCCAGGATGCAGGCAGGAACATGCACTTGCAGGATTTCCGTGGCAAACTTCAACGGTGGTTTCTCTCCCTCCGTTTTGTGCTCTAGTTCCTCCCCAATCAGCTGGAGGAGCAGACTGATCTTCTCCTCTGTCAGGGACTGTGGGACAGAGAAAGATGGCAGAGCTGGCAGTCAGAGGCAGTCTGATAAAATACACTGCTTCTACTCACAAACCACATCCTAAATGGAGAAAAAACCCTTCCTCACTCCCCAAAAGGGCTGGATGCATGAGCGAGCACCCTCAGCACTTCTACTCTGGTTAACAGGCAAAAGCCACACAGAGAAATGGCATCCTGCTGCCTTGCGTCCATCTGACTGTCCCCATTGCATGGACTCAGTTCAAGCACCATTTGCTCCCCTGAGCACATGTGGGGATAGCGGAGCAGGTCACAGCTCTGCCACTCACAGCAAGCACGAGCCTGAACAGTCCCCATCCGTCCCTCCGATCCCAGGGAGGCAGCAGGGGCTGTGTTTGCCTGTGCTCAGGCAAACCGTGAGCGCTTCTGGGGCCATTGTTGAGACATATAGAGAAAAGAGAGTCCCCAAAGGCTGTTAGTCAGGCTCCAGACCTCGCTGCTAGTGGGATAGCTGGGGAGTTAGATGTGGAGATGCGATACATCCGTTGGCTTTATGCTGTCTCTTCTCGGGGGGCTCTGCTGGGTTTCACAGCTCAGTCAGCCCACAGTGGCAACCATAAAACACCTCTGCGATTTCTGCTGAATGGATGAAGAGTTCCCCAGTGCCCACATGGCTTCTTGCTGCCGAGAGCCATCTGTTTCCTGGCGAGCGAGTGTCCAACGAGCCAGACTTGGCTGGAGTAGAGTGAGGCCTGGCCAGATCCCTACGAGGAGGCAATCCCACACTTGCTCCTGGCTGCAGCTAAGCTCCAGCCTCCCCTGCCGTAGCTCCTGCTCTTCCCTCCTGCCTGCTGAGCCTCCTCACACGACTGCCTTGCACGAGAGGCCCCCCTGTACTGCACTCCCTGGGCTCCCTCACCTTCACAGGCCTCTGCCCACACCTCTGCTCTGGGGCAGCCTCTGGCTCCCCAAATTCCTGATCCCACCTAGAGCAATGACTGCCTCCAGTGGAATCCCAGCCACTTGTTAGAGCTCTTTGCGGGCTGCCATGTCCCACAGAGCACTTGGGGGTAACGAACAGGGGTGGGAGCTGCCAGGGAGAGCTCCCAAAGGAGTCTGTGGGACCCCGGATCACTTCTGCTAGGCACCAGAGAGCACCACGCACACCAGAAAAGGTGCAGAGTGCCAACCAGACACTACAGCCCACTTCCCACCAGCAACATTGTGGTGACATGAGCCAGCTGTGCCTGTGTTGGTCAAGGGCTTGCACAGGAGATGAGCCTTTCCAAACTTCCTTTTACATGCTTTCAGAAACACTAGGTAAAACCACCATGTGGGGAACATCCAAGGAGAAAGCCAAGGTGATGACAGACCACTCACACATGCAAGTTGAAGTCTCTGATTTTAATCTCCCAACTGTTTTGGTCAGGGTTGCACAGTACAGGTGTGCCCGGCATCATCACTAGGGACTTGAATGTACCCAATCTCGGGGGCAGATGGGAACTCACCATGTTTTTCATGTCTTCTGGTCTGAGGGAGGGCAGCTGCAGCTCCAGCTGACATAGGCTCTGAAAGCGGTCCAGGAAGTCCTGGAGAAGGGCTCTGGGCTCATCCACCAGCAACATGGCAAAGCGATCTGATGAAAGCAAATGCAGGAGGCCTGAGCTGTGCCACCAGCCTTCCCAGCTCCTCCTCATACCGCAGGGTAAGGGAGGAGATAAGTCCAGCCAAGGCCTCCCCATAACGGTCTCTTGGCTTTTAAAAGAAAAGCTGAGCACAGCCTTCTTCCTTTGCAACCACCTTTCCCTGTGCAGTGCAGCTTTGAAGATGAGATCTATTGCCCTTTAAGCACCCCGTCATCCAGCCTCCCCTGTCCCCTCCCAGTTACAACCAGAAAAGCATTTTAACTGCTCTAGAAGCATGCAAAGGTTAAGAGAGGCTGGGTACAGCCTGGCTTGGGGTTCCAGCCATGGCTCAGTTATTTATTTGCTGAGGCTGCTCAAAAACACTGCTTTGCCACTGTGCGTTTCATTGTCCCCACAGGGAAAAAGGGGACCGTGATGACACTGCCAGGTTTGAGAACTTGAAGAGAAACCACAGTTCCTACAACAGGAGACAAGAGCAGTGAAAGAAAGGGAGAAAAAAAGAGAATAATGCTGGACATGTGCACTAGCCGGGCTCTGAGACACCAACCTGGGCAGGGGCTGTCCGGCCAGAAGCAGAACTTCTCATGAGCAGTGCACAAGGCCTTCTTCAGCTCTATGCAGCGCTCCTTATCTGCAAGGCAAAGCTCAATTCTACTCCCCTGTGGAGCCACCTCCTCAGGGAATGGTTGGGAAAACCAAACCAGGAAAGGAAGGTACCAGGCTACAAGGGCTTCCCTGTTCCTCCCATTCAGCATGGCTCAGGTGGCAGATGCCACCTGAGGCTGTAGCTTGCAGAACCTGAAACTCTCACCTCAGACTCATCTCCCTCCCCACCAAAAGGAGCTCCCGCACCTCCAGCCTCCCTGCAGGCAATCACAGACGGCAGTTCCTACAGCAGCAACGGCAGGCTGGTTCAAGGGGCTATCTCCACAACAGCAAGCATCACCAGAGTAGTTCCACCTCTCTGCAGCCAAAATCCCCTCCCATTCCCAGGCACAGTGACCACAGAGCAGGGGAGCCTGCCACACTGCACAGCAATGTAGTGGAAATGTAGCTCAAACCACCATGGGCACAGTGCCTGCCTGCTCTTGCCAGTTTTACCTCCTGGGCTGCTGCCAGTCCCTAGCTAACTCACCTGACTCCTCTGCTCTGGCTGTAGGATCCAAATCACAGCCATGTCTGGAAATCAAGCTTCCCAAAAAAAGATTTGGTACTTCATTTAACTTATTCACACCTTTCAGAATCAAATAATTTATTCTTCAATTTATTTTTCCAGCCCCTCTTCCAACCTCTGATTATTTTAGGTTTTCCTAAACGAGTGCAATTACCAACAGAATAATTAGGCCAAGGTTTATTTAACAAAGATAGTCTGAACAAACAGTGGGTGTCAATATTCAGACTGACCCAAAAGGAAATGCTCATGCAGCTCCCCATTACACATGACCTATGCTGCATTTGTCAGACATCAGGGCTGCACTCTCCGCTACCTTCCAGATAACAAGAGCAGGGACTTGCAATCAAGAAAATTGAGAAGTGGAGATGACACTTATTTGTGGTGTAATGAGCGTCTTTCTGCACATGACAGAGGCAGGTAAAGGAAAAGCAAAGGTCTGGACAGGTGATATAAAGCATAGACCATCACTATCCTGTGGCTCAGAAGCGACACTCACGCCATGGGGCCGAACACACCGCAGAGGCTGGTGTTCCTGCCACACTCTCAGCCCCATGTTGTCCAGTGTGGGAGAGATGGGAGCCATTACTGCTCCTGCCTGCACCTCACAGCATCAGGAGCGGCCAATGCTCTGCAGGCAGGGGAAGGAAACTGGTGCTGGGCCTGGGCAGGGAGCTCAGCGAGGGCAACAGGAAGGGGAGTTTTATTGCTGGTAGTCCAAGTAGTTTAAAGAGGACAGTGGAAGAGTTTATTAAATTACAGAATGTGACCACCTGAACAGACTGACTTGTGACAAGCCATCACCAACAGCCCACATTAGAAAAACTGAATAGAGGATCAGGGCAGCAGACCAAGCAGTTGGAAAACAAAATTTAAAAAAGGATGTTAAGGTACTTGAATGCATGCAGAGGAGGGGAACAAAGCTGGTGAAAGGGCTGGAAGGCATGTCCTGTGAGGAGTGGCTGAGCACTCTGAATTTGTCCAGTCAGGAGAGGAGGATAAGGGGCAACCTCAATGCTCTCTACAGCTTCCTGAGAGGGAAGTGCTGATCTCTTCTCCCTAAGATCCTGTGATAAGACACATGGGAATGGCTCAAAGCTGCACCAGGTGAAGCTCAGACTTGAGATTAGGAAGCATTTCTTTACCAAGAGGGTGGTCACACACTGGAACAGGTTTCCTAGAGAGGTGGTCGATGCCCCATGTCTGGCAGTGTTTAAGAGGCATGTGGACATTGCCCTTAATATGATTTAATATTTGGTCAGCCCTGACACGGTCAAGCAGTTGGACTAGATGACAGTCGTAGATCCCTTCCAACTGCAACTATTCTGTTCTAACCCACCTCTGACAACAGAATCAGGAAGTTTGACCATGTTCTCACAAACTAAAGGAAACCTGACTCGCACTTTATTTTCAGAAACAAACACCCAGCACCTCTCAGGACAAGACTACGGAAGTCATTTATGCACATGACAAAGCACTTGCACCCCCAAACCCTACAGCCCACCACCTGTACCCGCTGGATGCTGGCATACGTACACTTGTTGAAGTCAAACGCAAGCTGCAGGCTCACACAGAGGAAGGCCTGGCAGCTGGAGCACTTCAGCATGTCACACTCCACATTGGTCCAGCCGTACTTGGCGCAAACCAGGGGAGACAGCTCGCGGGGTTTGCCAGCCCACTTCAGCGGGTGCTTGTATTAAGGATAAAACCTAATAAATTATGGGTTGACCGGGAAAAGCTTTCGCCAAGGTTTATTTGGCTGAAGAAGAAAAGCTTCCAAGAAGACAGAGCCTGCATGGAAGCCACAGGGAGGGTGACAGCAAAGCAGGGTGGGGGATGGCTGGAAGCCCAGTGTCAGAAAGGATATGGTGAATGTTTCTACTCTGCTGAAATAGGCTTCCTTGCTGGCAGACTCCAAGGAGAGAGCATCCATTTGCAAAGATCCATTAGCTGATTCTGACCAGTCAGATATGTCCTTCCTAAAGAAACAGCAAGTCAGCAAGCAAAGCATCTGCACTGTCCTGGAAAGATTTCATTAATAAAAAAATGCACAGATTGCCCTCTAACCTCTTGTTCTTCAGGCTTACCCTTGCAAGAACCCTTTCTCCAGAGCTCCTAAGTCCTGACTTTTAATTACTTTACTAACAAACCAATTTAAAAAATATAATGCAACAAGCAAAGGTGCACATTAAACATTTCATGATGACCGACAGCAGTGGCCAACGGAGATTTGATGTGACAAGTAGGAGACAGGAGCTTGTTCTCCAAGCCCAGTGAGACCAGATTGACAATTGCAGCAAGTCTCTGAAGTCAGGGACGCATCTGAGCTCCCAGCATCTGGAATGCCAGCTCCTGGCACCCAGAACACCAGCCCTGTGGTGAGTGCTGCCCTTCAGCCTCTCCCCAACACTCCTCCGTGGCCCAAAACTTGGGGATGGTTGGGTCAAGGGTGAATTGTGCCTCTGAGAGCAACCATGGTTACTTGGCTTTAAGCAGATACCAGCAAAGCTCAGCATCCAATGCCTCAACTGCATTCCAGACTCCCCAGTGCCCCCCAGTAACTCCTGTGACTCTCAGTATACCCCCAGGGTGCGACCGCACACTTTTCGGGTCAGAGGCCCAGTCCGTGGCCAGTTCAGCTTGCTCAGGCTGCAGGGACACCAGAACTCCACAGGTCACTTACCTGTCCCTGCCTTCCCAGTGCCCCCCAGTACTGCCTCCCAGTGTACACCAGTACTGCCTCCTACTGCCTCCCAGTGTCCCAGTATCTCTGTTTCCGCTACTGCTTTCCCGTGCTTCTTAGTCCCTCCAGTACTCCCAGTGCCACCACTACCGCCTCCCACTACCCCTTCATCCCTGCAGTACTCCCAGTACCCCTTAGGGCCACAAGTACAGCCTCCCAGCGCCCCTCACTTTCCAGTGCCCCCCACCCTCAACGTGCTTCCCAGTCCCTCCCAGCACACCCCAGCACCCTCTTTCCCCAGTACTCCTCCGCCACAATAACTCCCAATACCTACCAGTGCTCCCCAGCCCCGACCCCCCCAACGACTCGTGTCGCCTCCCAGGACCCCTCAGCGTCTCCCCAGCACCCCCCCAAATAACTTCGAGGGCTCCCCA